AAAGTCAATGTAAATAATAAAGAACTACTCTAATTATAGGCAAGAAAAAGGTGATCTAGGTCAACCAATAAACAAGTGACAACTGACAAGGAGAACAGGACAAGAGCTTCAAAGAAAGAGATGATGAACATCAAAGGATTAAGAAAAGTTAGTGAAATGACATAGTGGACAGAGGATAAAACAAAATTGGCAAAATATCAGTAATTCTTAAAGCTTGGTGAGGAGTACATGGAAATTCAACCATTTTCTCTTCTTTGGTATACACCTGAAACTGCATAGTGGATATTTTTTTGAAAGAATACCTTAGTTAAGACTAAGTCCCTAAACATTTTATAAAAATTTATCCTTATGATCATGGTAAGAAAATGGAAGTAAAACAAAGTATCCATCTACCTATTGTACAATTTTGCTAGACAAAATTTTTAAAAACCTACTTGAGGGCTTCTCCGGTAGTCCAGTGGTTAAGAATCTGCCTCGCCATTCAGGGGACACTGGTTCGATCCCTGGTCCAGGAGGATTCCACGAGTCACTGAGCAACTAAGCCCCTGCACCATGACTACCGAGCCAGCACTCCAGAGCCCGAGGTCTGCAAATACTGAAGCCCGGGCGCCCAGAGCCCATGCTCCACAAGAGAAGCCACTGCCACAAGAAGCCTGAGCACCGCAATAAAGAGCAGCCTGTCCTCGCCGCTAACTACAGAACGCCCATGTGCAGCAATGGAGACCCATCATAGCCAAAAGCAAAAATCTACTTGATTCTTGCCTTATTATAAAAAAAAGTTGCCATCATAATCAAAATTTTGATAAAGGTTTAAAACTGACTTTTTTAATTCTCAATTTTACATTTCAATATAAAATCTAAATAAAACTTTTCCTCCCTATTTACTTGTGAAATTTTAGTCCTCAATTTTAATTCCATTTTTAGTGGTCTTCTTCAGATAAAGAGAATCACTAACATAACATATACTTTAGACTACTCTGGAGGCTGCCTACATCCTAAGAACTTTGAAAATTCCCAAAATTCATGAATACTGCCACAATATAAATTAACTCAATTTTACCTCCATAAAGTCCCTAAATGAGGAAGAATATCAAACAAACAATTGCTGCAGTCAGCCTAGTAAGAAAACCATGAGTTACTTCAGACCCAGGCAAGAGTTTTAGGGACCTTCAAAAGTCCCTAAAGAAAACCAAGAGTACTCAAATAATTCTATGGTTTCAATAGTTTTCAGTCTTATCCCCAATAATCTCAAGTACCTTTAAGGCGGACCTAGACCTTCCATGACATTTGTTTTTTACTACAAGGCTATGAAGACCCAATGAGACAATACAGACCAAAGCACTTAAAACTAAGTTATTGCCTGTTATAACTTGGAGCTCTGGGAACCAACCTTCCTTGAAGATTTTTTTTTAAGCACTTACAATATACAAAGCACTGTATACTATATATGTACATTGGCAGAAATTAGACAGTATCAACCCAATTAAATAGAAAAACACCAGGTCAGGATTATTAACTACAATGACAACCATTTCACATCAATGTATGCAGAAATAGTAACTGAATAGCATGAAGGTAAACTGAAGCCGTTGCTCCTTTATGACAGGAGACAAACAGTCTGCTGATAGCTAGTTATACAAAAACAACTGGCAATACAATGTTGAATTATGTTGTCATTCTCTAGTTCCAGACAGAGGGTTTAAAATCCTAATAAGTACTCGTTACTCTCTCCAGGAGAATCTTATTCTATCACAATATCACATACAGAAAAAGACAATAGCATGTGCAAAAGATTTTCTAAAATTTCTAGCCCTAAGCACAGGCGCTAATACAGAGTAAGTGCTCTCCATACCTGCTACATCAACCAGTCACTGTGAATAGTCTGAATACATCAAGTGTGTAGCTATATGGAATTTCTTTTAATTACACCTTTCTCAAGCTTAAACTAAATTTGCATTTTGAGAATGACTTCACTTTAAATTCTCAAAAAATATCAAAGGCGAAAATGAAAGCAATAGATTTTGGATGAAGCAATTCAGATTTATCCATAATCTGTAAGAAAGACTTACAAGAATAAAGATTCGAATTCCCTGGCATTCAGTGGTTAGGACTTCCACTGCCGTGGCCTGGAACTAAGACTGAACTACTGTTTAGTCCCTGGTCAGGGGAACTAAGATCCAACAAGCCACATGCAGGACGGTCAAAAAAAAGAATAGATACTGGTTTCTTCAAGTCCACAGTCTGTGAGTAATTTTATTTTCTAGATGAAAAAAAATTTTCTACACTTATACAAGTTTGTTAACTCTCAGTTTAGATACATAACATTTTTTTCTAAAGGCTCTAGTATTTTAGAACCAATGATGACATCTCTTTGATAAGAACCACATAGATTTACACTTACACTTCTAGAGAAACATGTATCTCCACCTTCTAAGTTTTTATATAAAGACAAAACTATATACATGTAAAATACATTTCAATGTAACAAGAAGGATTTGTCTGAGCTGCTGATAGGCTGCCAACACAGCCTATCCACCCTAAAAAATATCTAGGACAAAACAGATTCAAGATAACTACTGAAACAAATTTTTAAAATCTGCAACTGCCAAACTAAGAAATCAAGTAGTACTAACACATATTTAAAATATGAATCAACAGAAACAAAAGCGACACACCCACATTCTCACTCTTAATTTCAAAGAACAGCAGGGCTATATAGTAAAATGAATGTTTAATGCACTCAAAACCATCACTACACACCATAAAGTTTTTCTATCTAAATCTTTACAGAGTATTTCAGAGGCATCTTGGAGAGGGAATGGGATCCCCTTTGGTGACATAACAGATGACCATGACAATGTGTCTAGGCAGAAACAAAATCAGAATCAAATATTTAAAGTTGAAAGGAATCTTTTAACAATCAAGCTGGTTCAGATTTTAAAGTGGTGAAACAGGGAAAGTGAAGTCAACTGGTCATTTAGCTAACTAGGGACAGTCAAAAATTCTGGGTGAAGACCAGATTTTTAAAAAGCAAGTATCACCACAATCTAACATAGTAGGTAGCACTACTGAGTAACTCAAAGTACATTTTTTCCCCATTTCTATACACATACACCCATACCACACACATACATACACTTCAAAATTTAAAAGTAGAAAAGGTTCAAGAGCCTACTCTGATGATGGTCGTTACCATAGGATGCTGTACAACACGTACCTCAGAAAAAATAGCCTAATTTAAATTTTGACTTATGTCCAAAAAGGTCTTTTCATCTTAGCTACCCTGAATGTGAACCCAAAATGTACTTCAACCTGCAAGTCATCCTATCAACTAAAATTTATAAGCCATGCCTTATGCAAAAATAAGACTCCAGGTAATTCACTGATTCTTGTACCCAGGACACCAGCAAGCCAAAGCCAAGGCCACTTAAAAAAAAAAAAAGCTAAACAAATGTATACCTCTATCTTGAAAACTTAATTCCGAACTCAATCAAATGCCCTTAAAAGTTTAACTCTTAACCAGTCCTCAATGGAGAGTTAACTTGGAAAATCAGAAAAGAATCAAACTCATATAATACAGAAAAAATCAAAGTAAAATTTTCCCAAAGAGCTTATCATTAGCAATAAGCTTTCATTTGTGAACTGATAAACAACCAAAAACCAATTAGTTATAACAGGTTTTTATAGTTTCCCTTTAAGTTGCCTGTATATATACATTAATGTATATATTTAAGTTGTACCAAAAACTGCTTACAAATGGCAATTCCTGTGAAGTAGATGATGATGAAGTTCCAGGTAATTCTAGCATGTTTCCTAATGTACTGGTACTGGAGTCTGGATCATCCTGAAAAGATAAATTTATTGAGTTTAATTGCTCTTCTATAGTACTGTTTGTATCTCCTAGTGAAAGGGGGGCTGGGAGAAGGGCTGCTTTTTCATTGCTGCCGTCCACTTCATTTCTTTGTTTATTTTTCTGTGTTTCAGTTTGAGGAGCTAATGGCAAGAATGGCGATTTGACTGCACCATGTCTACTGTCTGGTGTGCTGTCTTGTTCATTTCCCATGGCCACGTCTACACCATTCTCTGATTTAGGCTCATAATTGCAGGTGGCATTGGTTTGAGTTTCCTCAAAGATCTCCTCTATACTCTCATCCTCTGTGACTGGCTGTTCTGGGTCCATTTCAGAATCTACATCTGCATCGTCCACACAAGTAAAATTCTCAAAGTGCAGAAAGCCATTCTTGACAGTCTTTGTTACTTTTACCTGGAGTTCAGGGGAGTTATTACAAGAGGGTTCCTGTTTCATAGCAAGTGCTGTTGGACCACCAGGATTCAAGGAAGTGCAAACAACTGGCGACTGAGCTCTTGAATCACTTTTTTCAGGGTCTTGAAAGGATTCTGATCCATCAGCAGACCCATTTAAATACTCTACATTGATCATGGAGGCCAAATCCTGTAGTTTCCGCAGTGGAATGTAACAAGATGGAGAATCTTGTCCATAAGCATTTTGGGATGTTCCACTGGCAGTCGATAACTGCATAGTACACCCATTAAGTGGCTCAGAAAAATTGGATTGACCATTACCGAAAGGGCTGTCCTTGTCTTCAGGGGCATCTAAATTCACTGGATTGGAAAAGGGCAGCAGACAATTTCTTCTAGGTAGTTCACAGGTCTGATCCATCCTGGGCCAGCATCAACCTGGAATCCAAAAACACGGCAATTAATCTGAGTTAATGGGCCATTTGACTCTTATCTTCAAAATGGCAGCCACTTCTCAAGGCCTAGTGGCCTCGATGCTTTTCTGCTGCACTTCCATGGGCGGAAAAAGTTCCCCAGCTGACGATGGAAAAACGGCCTCGGTGAGCCTCCGCGAACTCCATCTTCCCGGAGACGGGTAGATCTTGCCACATGGAAACAGCCCGTCCCTTTTTCCTGCAGACTGCTGGACAGTTGGGCTGATCTAAAATTAAAATCCCGTTGGCAGTAGAAATTTCCAAATCTCAAACAGGATTGTCTTTCCCCTCCCCCGCTAGGAGTCCAGAGGCCGGATCTCCCAAAAGCAGGGGGCTGTAGGGTTCGAGGGGGGCTCCAGGACGCTGCACAAAAAGGTTACCCCCCCCATCCTTCCTGGCTCGCTCGGGCGCAGCGGTCACAATAGCGCTGCACCCTGCGCCCCAATTGGCGCCTGAGCCTTTGCAGTGGCCGTGCTCAGGCCGCAAGCAAGTCGGCGAAGCGGGTGCACCCCGAAGCTCTCCTTTCTGATTGTAGGCCTGCTTGGTCCACAGCCGCAGGCCCAGAGGCCGGAACGCGGCAGGGGGAGAAACGGAGGCAGTCGGTGAAGCCGAGTCAGGGCAGCAGCAGCAGCTGCTACAGCTTGACAAACATGGCTGCTGCCGACGCCGCCGCCGCCTGCCCGGGCCGCGTTCCTTCCCGTAGCGCCGGTAGCACCTCCTGGCCGAGCCGATCGCACTCATCAATATTCAGCACCAAGCAAAGTTTGCTGCAGGAGGGCAGCCGGCCCCGTGCCCCCCAGCCGGCTACCTGAAGGGAGGCGGAGGCCGAGGTGCGCGCGGGAGGCCGGCGGGGCACGGGCCGCGCGGGGAGGAAGTTCGCGGAGGCCCGGCCGGCTAGGCCTGAGCCCGGCTGGTAGTGATGGAGGGGGAGGGGGCCTGCGGCTGCAACGCCGCGGGCCACCAACCCTGCGCCGCGCCCGGCCCTCCCCCGCGCCCCTCACCTCACGGCCACCACCATCTTCCCCGCCCGGCCGCCTCCCCAATCCGCTCGCGCCAGCCCGCCGCCCACCCCAGCGCACTAGTTACCGTGCCCCGCGCCCCCTCCCGGGCCGGCTGGGGGGAGGGGGTGACCCTCATTACACTGGGGCGCGAGCGGAGCGGTGGGGAGAGCGTGGAGCCGCTCGCCGCACCCCCCTCCCCCCGCGTCTCTCTTCAGGAGAGAAGGTAGCAAGCGCGACCTGCCCCGGCCTATTCCGCCGCCGCCTCCTCCTCCTCACACCCCCACCGCGCGCGCCCCCGCGGTGGCGCGTGCGACCGAGCGCCTCGCGCCGGCCCGCGTGCGGCTGGGGCCCCGAGTGCGCGCGCACCCCTTCCCCCAAGGCGCGCGCTCCTTTGCCTCACTCTTCGGGGTTCAGGGCGGGTGAAGTCGGGCTCGCGAGCGCGCCACCCAATCAGCGGAGCCGCCGCTGCCGCCCCCTCCCCTCCCCCTGCGCGCCCGCTCGCGGCCCGGGCCTACGGGCCGGCCCGACTGCCCGGGCGGGGCCTGAGGCGGGCTCCCCAGGGGCCTCGCGCGCCTCCCCGGAGTGTCGGGGCCTGCGGGCGTCGTGGGTGGCATTCCGATCCCCTCACCTACCTCGGGGAACTGCGCCGGCCCCGGGCTGCACACGTTTCCAGCACCCTACCGGTCTGGAGCCCCAGCCCCGGCGGCACCTGGCTGGGCTGAGGCCTGTCCGACCGCCCCGCCAGCCCCGCTCGGGCCCGCGTCAGTCCCGGCCTCCATCTTAGGTTACAGCCCGGGTTCCCCATCCACTGGGCACCTGCCTTCAGCCCGCTCGGCTCGGGCTCGAGACCAAGGCAACCCCCCTCCTACCGCGGGGCTCACCTGGGGGCTTGGGCTGGGGTCTTCGAGGCCTCAAACCCCGAGCAGGCGCGGCCGCAGGTGAACCCCCTGCCGGGCCGCACCCCAAGCCCACATCACCACCACCACAGACCAAGCAGAGCAGGAAACAAAATGGAGGCAGCAGCTCGGGTCTGCCTCCCCGAGCCAAGCCTGTGCAGCCCCAGGGCTCCCTCCTGCCGCAGGCCCGACGCCCGCGAGGCAGGGGGCTGGCTCGTCCCGGGCACCAAAGGCAGCCGCCCTAGAGCAGCGCAGACAGGCCGGGGACTCAGCCCTGCGGTCCCCACAGCCCCTCACCCACCATCCCTTCCCTTCCCCCTCCCTCCATTCCTCTTCCTCCCCCTGCCCGGCCGTGCGGGGTGAGCGGCTCCCGGGAGCCGGGTCGGGTCGGGTTACCCGCCCGGGCACTGCCCGCCCAGCCTTGGCCTCCGTGGGGAGATGAGGCCAAGCGACCCCCGCGCTGAGCCCACCCCCCGCACCCGAGCCGGGCAGCAATCTGACAGCGCGCCCGCACCTCGGCCTGCCGCGGTGCAGCCCCCGCCCAGTGAGGCCAAGTCCCCAGCCCGGGCACCGCCGGGACGAAGCTCCCTCGTCACCCCCGGGCCCAGGGGTCTCGCAGCCCCGGGCGGGGCGAGGGGAGCGCTGGGGGAGGGGTCCACTAATCCCTGCACCGCCTCCCGCGCCTAGTCCGGGTCTAGGCCTGGCACTGGGACTCGGGCCGGGGGCGCGGGCGGGCGTCAGTAGGTGTGTGCGCGCGGGGCAGTGGACGCGGGCTGGGGGCCCGGAAGGGCCGAGCCTCGCACCGCGGACGCTGCAGTTCTCTGCACCCAGGCAGATGGCCCTCTCGTGCCGCCTCCTCCCGCGCAGGCCGCCTGCTCCGCAGCCCTGCTCCCCGGGGAGCGCGCGCCTCACCCCTGCGGGCCGGGCATCGGGACCCCGGCGGAACAGCGTTGGGAGGGCGGACCGCCGGGCTGGCCCCGCCAAGACTGCTCGCCTAATTCCTGGTCTGGGGCGCTCTGCCCTCGGGAGCCTGGCACCTCGAGGCCTGCACCCAGTACCCGGGGCCCCGCAGCACTGGCCTACCGCGTCCAATCACCAAAGACACCGCGACGTGGGGAAACCCAAATAACGACCCCGCGACGCCGACCTCCCCCAGGCCCTTCGCCTAACCCGATCCAACTCTGACCCCCTCCCCCTCCCGGCTTGCTCCCGACAAAAAGCTCACCCTGGGTACCTATTTGGTCCCTAGAGTGCTAAGTTCATCCCCGATGTTCAGAGAAAATCACAAACGACCGCCGTAAAAATTCCGCCTCCTCCAGAAAGCCTTCTGTGATTAGAGTTAACTCCATCTCAAAGCTGAGGGCGCCGCCCTCGAGAGCCACGTGACTACCATTCCTCCTAGGGCTTAGTAAATGTGCATAATTATTGCCTCAGTGGAGTGTTTACCCGCCATCCTTCTATCTGTTAATAGCGAGCCCACCTGGGAGAAAGGCACTTTTGGCGTTGTCTTGCGCAGTATTGGCTTTCGCTTGCGGCTCCCTAAATTCCGTCCTTCAGCCTTACCCAGCCTTCACCCCGAAACTGGCCCCAGTAGACTTGGAGCTCAGGATGCCCGTAGCTTCCTTTCCTCCAAGACCCACAGACCAGCCAAGGAGACAGACAACAGGTCCTTACCACACCTGAGTGCTGGGATGCATCCCTGCCAAGAAAGCAAGCAGGCTGTCTTGGAAGGAAGGAGTCCCCTGAAACCAGTGTGATGAGGAGAGCACTGTGACCTCAGGCGGCCTCCTTCTGTTGAAGAGAATGAGGTATCCTGACTGTTCCAAGTGCGTAGTCAGGTTGGCAGTGAGTCGAAGAAGAGCTGGGTCTACACTCCAGGGTCCCGCCCTACAAGGACCCGCCCTTTGTTCTGCTAAGGAGTGACTCCTGCTAATCCTTTATAGTCAATTCAATGGGGGAGCTCTGACTGGCTCCTTCTTCTTCCGTGCATCCAAAGTTGTTTTAGTCGTGTCCAAGTTTATGCCACGGTATGGATTGTAACCTGCCTAGCTCCTGTGTCCATGGGATTCTCCAGGCAAGAATACTGGAGTGGGTTGCCTTCCTCCAGAGGATCTTCCCAACCCAAGGATCGAACCAGAGTCTCATGTCTCCTGCCTTTGCAGGCGGGTTCTTTACCACTAGCGCCACCTGGGACTCCTTCACACCTAATCTTTTGAACTAGTCATTTCTGACTGACAGTTACCTCCTAACAACTGCCCCAATTCAGATTACTTGCAACCCTTTACTCTCCCATGACCGTCCTGAGGGCCTGTGAGGTGCCACTCAATGGCCTTGAGCCACTCAGTTAAAAAGCCACAAGCCTCAGTTTCCTCACCTGTGGTTTCCAATGCACAGGGTGGCTCTGAGGCTCTTGCAAGGCAAAGGTGTTTGGAGCCTATATGGACTGCATACTTGATAAATGCTGAGATGTGTTTCATTGCTTCTTTCAGCAACCATTTTTTGTATTTCAGGCCGTTTTGCTAGATGCTGGGGAAACAAAGGATGAGATCCCTACCTTAGGAAACCCCCAGCCTTAGGAAAAACACTTAAATAAAGGCGCAAAAGTGCGAAGAGGGACAAGGACAGTGGGTCCTCCAGAGCTGACCTCTAGACATCACTGACCTAAACGAACCTCTCTCTCCAACTTCACGGGCCCCATGGAATAGGTCTCATTCCTATGTGGTCAGTTATGCCCAACTCTTTGCAATCCCGTGGACTGTAGCCCGCCAGGCTCCTCTGTCCATAGGTTATTTTCCAGGCAAGAATATTGGAGTGGGTTGCCAGTTCCTCCTCCAGGGGATCTTCTCGACCCAGGGTTCGAACCCAAATCCCCTGTGCTTCTCCTGCATTGGAAGGTGGTTTCTTTCCCACTGCCCCACACAGAATGGGCGGAGGAGCTAAAGGAGGACAGGCAGCTGGGGATGAACAGCTTTCTGATGATGGTCTTAGAGAAAAGACTGGAATCCCAGAGAAAACCTCCTGGACTTTCCTGGAATAACTCAAGGGTCCCTTCCTGCCTCTCAGAGTAGAATTGGTCTCACCCACAGCCGCTTCCTTTGGTGACTCCCAGTCAGAAGGCTAAACACCTGTTGGGTGCCAGCATTTGGTTGAGGGGACCCACAGAACCCTATATTCTCACAAGGACACTAGCTCCCGAAGTAGAGGAAGAAAGGATAGGTCTGTGGCCAGCCCTCCTTGTCTCAGCACAAGGAACTTTTCTGGGCCTGTGCCTCCCATCCTTAAGACAGAGATTAGAATCAGTAAATATTTGCTGAGTCTATGCGGTATACTGGACACCATGCTGGGCACTTGACATGCATGAGTTCCTTTAAATCTTTAGCGGCCCTATGCAGAAATGAGGCCCGAAAGATTAAGCCCTTCTGCAAGGTCTTAGAGTCTTGTCATTTCACGTCTTCTGCTCCTGGCAAACACACCTTCTGGCTACAGTAGGTGAGAAGGCCCAGTACAGTGCCTTACGCATAAGGACTCTGGAATTTGAGTGGTGGGCAGAGTGAGATTACCTTAGCCTCGGTTTCCTCACCTGTAAATTACTGATACTGGTAACCTGCTGAAAGAGATACTTGGAGAGACATTCTGCCAGTGTACTCCTTTTTTCTTAGAACTGCCCTCCCCTTTGATTCATGAATTCAGCAGATATAGCTTCCCATGTGGTGCAGTGGTAAAGAATCCGCCTGGCAATGCAGGAGACACAGGTTTGATCCCTGGGTCAGGAAGACACCCTGGAGTAGAAAATGGCAACCCATTCCAGTATTCTTGTCTGGAAAATTCCCCTCAGAGGAGCCTG